AGTCATGATGCTATTGAATGGTGAAGCAGGTTTGAGGGGCTGAATGGCCTACTGCTGTTCCTATTTCTTATGGCGTTATGGTATTATATTTTCAAAGGACTTGAATCAATTTGTCAGACATGATTTATTTAGTTCTGTCACCAGGTTTGTGAGGGACCCCATTTCCTCATTATCTACAATATCCTGTCAATCTTCAAGGCCTTCTGCTCTGCCCTGATCGGTGTATCTATGGCTCTAGAGCCACTCTCAGTATTCTACGTTGATATTGTGCATTTTATTATCCTGCGATGAGAAAAAGCAGAAAGCAATGAAAGCGAAAAGTGCAATGTGTGCAGATAAATGAATGGCAGCACTTGTGGAGGGTGATTGACAGCGACTAGTGTGGGATGCACTCCATTGAGCATCATTGGTGGCTGCTCAGATGGAGATTTCAGTGAATGGGTGGAGCCGCACTGTGTGTTGTTTTGGTGAGTGGCATACAGGAGAAGGCTGATGAAGTCAGGCAGTTGTGCTTAGCACCTGAGAGTGATATGCCACACACCTTTTCTAACCTAGTGAAACTGTTAACCACTATACACATCCTAGGAGTTACATTCTTGCAGCTCGCAGCCTCCGAAACAACCATCAATGCCTGTTTAATATGTATGGGTGGCCTCTTCTTCTTGTCCACAGGAAATACCATGTCTGTTTGGGCCATTACCACTTCCAGGGAATTGATACATTGAGTGAGTGGGCAAAGGTCTGGCAGATGGAATACAATGTAAATAAATGTGAAGTCATACATTTTGGTAGGAGTAATAGTAAAAAGGATTATTACTTGAATGGTAAAAAGTTGCGTGATGCTGCTATGCAGAGGGACCTGGGTGTCCTTGTGCATGAATCACAGAAGGTAGGTCTGCAGGTACAACAAGTAATTAGGAAGGCAAATGGAATTTTGTCCTTCATTGCTAAAGGGATTGAGATTAAAAGCAGAGAGGTTATGTTGCAGCTGTACAAGGTGCTGGTGAGGCCACACCTGGAGTACTGTGTGCAGTTTTGGTCTCCTTACTTGAGAAAGGATGTACTGGCACTGGAGGGGGTCCAAAGGAGGTTCACTAGGTTGATTTCGGAGTTGAGGGGGTTGGCTTATGAGGAAAGACTGAGTAGATTGGGATTATATTCATTGGAATTCAGAAGATTGAGGGGGGATCTTATAGAAACATACAAAATTATGAAGGGAATAGATAAGATAGAAGTAGAGAGGATGTTTCCACTGGCAGGTGAAGCTAGGACAAGAGGGCATAGCCTCAAGATTAGAGGGAGCAGATTTAGGACTGAATTGAGAAGGAATTTCTTCACCCAGAGGGTTGTTAATCTATGGAATTCCTTGCCCAGTGAAGTAGTTGACACTACTTCAGTAAACAATTTTAAAAAAAAGGTAAATTTTTTTTGAACAATAAAGGAATTAAGGGATACGGTGAGAACGCGGGTGAGTGGATCTGAGTCCACGAAAAGATCAGCCATGATCTTATTGAATGGCGGAGCAGGCTCGAAGGGCCAAATGGCCTACTCCTGCTCCTAGTTCTTATGTTCTTATGTTCTTAAATAAGCAGGTCTCCCTCCACTCTTCTCCTTACTCCAGTCTTGTCTAGTAAAGTAGGATGCAGTCCTTCTGAAATCTGCCAGCGTCCCTTCCAATAGAAAGCCTTTTATTGACAGATGTGGTTTGCCATCATATGTATGCTGTGGTTGTTCAGGAAGCACAGAACTGGATGTTAATGGCCTGGCTGATTTAAACGAAGCAAAGTCCACCACTGAAAGAAACGGGTTCCTGACCCAATGCCACACCTCCTGGTGCCAGCAGGTCTGTTCATTTAAATTCTCCTCAATGTAGCAATCAACTGTAGAATACAAGGTGGCAACCCAAGCAGTTTTGAAAAAACATACAGAGTTTTGGTAATATTCAAAGTTACGTCATATGTCAGCAGGCTGGGCAGCATCAGAGAGGCAGGAAAGCTGACGTTTCAGAAGAAGAGTCCGCACCCGAAACATCAACTTTCCTGCTCCTCTGATGCTGCCTGGCCTGCTGTGTTCATCCAGCTCTACACCTTATTATCTCAGACTCCAGCATTGGCTGTTCTTACTATCTCTCCGTCATATGTCAGCTAAGTGATAACATCTCATTAAATCTCAGAAGGACTAATGCAAACAAATGCATTGTATGGGTTCCATTTTTATTCTGCATTTTGTACATAACAGGCTATTAAAACAAAGAGCTTCGATGAAGTTTGGTTTCTATTCTGTTGCTTGTTTAAGAAATTAAAACGAAGTAACTGATTCAAGCCAGACCAGACTATAACAAACTTCACAAACAGTTTAGCCAACAGACAAAAATGTTTAGTTTTCAGATACAATCTAATAATATCAGTAATGCTTGAAAGTTATCAATAAGTTCACAGACAGAATAAGTGGAATGAAGATTTACCAGACCAGGTCCCAGGATAGTGCGACTGTCCTGTGGAGAGAGATTGGGCAAACAGGGTCTGTCTTCTCTAGTTTCGAAGAATGAGACTGACAAAATATGTAAAGGGGTAGACAGGGTCGGTGCAGGCAAGCTTCTTTTCTTTGGCTGTGGAGCCTAGAACTGGAGGCACAATTTTGATATAAGTGGGGGCCCATTTTAGGACCAAAATTTTTCGTCGGTGAAATCTTTGGAAATGTTTGAAATTCTGTATCACAGGGGGCTATGAAAACTCAGTCTTTGAGTATGTTTAAAGTAGAGGTTGGCAGATTTCTGATCAGGACCACAAGGCCATAAGAAATAGGAACCTGTGTAGGCCATTCAGCCCCTCAAGCCTGCTCTGCTATTCAATAGGATCATGGCTGATCTAACACTACTCATGCCCACATTCTTGTCGTTTCCCATAATCCTTGATTCCCCTATCGATCAAGAATCTATCTCAGCCTTAAGTATATACAAGGACTCTGCCCCACAGCTCTCTATGGCAAGGAGTTCCAAAGACTCTTAACCATCTAAGAGAAGAAATTCTTCCTCATCTCAGTCTCAATTAATTCTAAGACAATTCCCTCTTGACAACTCTAGATTCCTAGACAATCCCCATGAGGGGAAATATCTGCTCAGCATTTATCTTGTCAAGCCCCTTAAGAATCCTATATGTTTCAATGAGATCACCTCTTGTTCTTTTAAATTCCAATGAGTGACCTTTGCAAATAAGACAATACCTTCATACCAGGGATCATCCTAGTATACTTTCTTTGAACTGCCTCCAATGAAATCATACCTTTTCTTAAATTAGGGAACCTCACAGTACTCCAGATGTGCTCTCACGTTTGCACATTTGCAGTAAGACTTCCCTACTCTTATACTCCAACCTCCTTGAAACAAGGGACAACATTCTCTAAGCCTTCCTATTACGCCTGTGTGTTAGCATTCTGTGTTTCATGTGCAAGTAACCCAAAATCTCTTTGTGTCATAGCAATCTGCAGTTTTTAACTGCATTGAAATAACACTGTTCTTTTGCTCTCCCTTCCAAAATGAACAACTTTATATTTCCCATATTATACTCCATTTACCAAATTTTTGCCCACTTCGTTAACCGATCAAAAACACTATATCATCAATGGAATAAAACATTATGAGGATAGTGTGGGTAAAAGGCATTGAAACACTTGATCAAGAGATAACACAGATTTCTGAAGAAGGGTCCCAACCCGAAACGTCAACTTTCCCGCTCCTCTGATGCTGCCTGGCCTGCTGTGTTCCTCCAGCTCCACACTGTGTTATCTCTGACTCCAACATTTGCAGTTCTTACTATCTCGAAGCATTCGATCAGCCATGATTGTATTTAATAGTTGTCACAATGCATTGAATGGCCTACACCTTCTCATATGCTCCTAATACAAGCAAGAACGTCTGTAAAGTTACCTTTCCATCCATATTGTTTACAACATTGCATATCTTTGTGATATCAGCAAGCTTGGGTATGTGACTTGCTATCCTATCATCTAAATAATTAATAAAAATGATGCACATTTGAGAGCCCCCATCAAAAATGCCTCTCATCAGATTCTGCCTTTATTCACCATTATCTTGGTAACTCAACCAATTGCTTTCAATTCCATGAGCTTCAATTTTAGGTGACGGTTTTATGAGGAATCTAATCAAATACCTTCTGCAAGTCCTTGCAAGTTAAATCCATAGATGCTCTTCTGTCCAGTTCTTTAGTCACTGCTTCTTAAAATTCAATCATGTTTTTTTTAGGCATGACCCACCAGTTCCTATTCCTTCCTAGCTTTCTCTGATAAGCTGGAAATTTTCAAGGTGTATAGTCACCTTTTCCCCACTTATTGACTGCAGGAATTTACTGAAAGCAAATTTTAAGCTAAACTATCCTCAATTACTTAGTTTTCATCTGACTTTTCTTTAAATAGCAGAATGTCATATACAATTCACCATCTAAAACAACAGCAACAAATTGAGAACATTTTTGCTGGTTCATTCTGAAGCCAGTGGTGAAGTAGGAAACTGAAGTCAATCTTTAGTTATTAATATACTTATTTCCAGACTGGAATATTACAAACATCCAACTCTTCCCTAGCTAACAAGATGCCCTAGAAGTTTCTCTTGATACTCTTTTGAAAACGAGATTAACCTAAACCAAATAAACTGAAAATCAGCAAATAAAGGTTGACAGATGTTTAAATGGAAACTGTAACAAAAATCAAAGTCTCAACATAAATGTAATTTAAAGTTTTGTTTTAGGAAGAAGAAAACTCATTTCAGCCCTTTGTTACCTAATGATCATGGGCAGTCTCTCCATACATGTACTGTAGCTACTTAATTAATCAATGAGCTCAAACTGTCTATCCTGTTATCAGGAAAAGCTAGACTATTAATGCATTGTCTAACTCCTAAGTAACTAACTCCTCACCTCATGTTACATCACACACCCCAAACTACCCTAAAATCAACTGTATATGATTATCATGAGAAGTGTGTTGGGCCAGTAGCATAATGGATAATGCATCTGACTTCGGATCAGACGATTGTAGGTTCGAGTCCTACCTGGCTCGAGCGCAGCTAACAGCTTTTCTACCCTTGTAAATTGAAATTGTGCTTCCAAAGCGGGAATGGGTGCTGGGTGTTTTGGCTGTGGTTGCCATGGTATAATGGTGAGCGCGCGAGTTCCTGAACTCTTTGATCAAAGTTCAAGTCTAGATGGAGCCTTCTTTGGGGCGGCACGGTGGCTCAGTGGTTAGTACTGCTGCTTCACAGCGCCAGGGACCCGGTTCGATACCACCCTCAGGCGACTGTCTGTGTGGAGTTTGCACATTCTCCCCGTGTCTGCGTGGGTTTCCTCCCACAGTCCAAAAATGTGCAGGCTAGGTGGATTGGCCATGTTACATTGTCCGTAGTGTTCAGGGATATGTAGTTTAGGTGGGTTGTAGGGGCATGGGTCTGGGAGGGATGCTCCAAGGGTCGGTGTGGGCTTGTTGGGCCGGAGGGCCTGCTTCCACACTGTAGGGATTCTATGAAATGCAATTAAAAAGGACCAATCTAATGTCCTTCAGGTCCCCCAAACTTGAAACAAGTAGAACTTTCATACTTCCTGACCCTACTTTAATTTTTAGTACTGCATGAATTTAAGTAATGTTTCAACTAATCTGTTCTGCACACGCTGCATCCAGGTGCAACCACTGCATCATATAACTAATGAATTCAGAATTAACACACTTATTACTGAACTAAAACTTCTGGTGATAAGTTGCAATTCCCACAGACTGATTGTCATCATCAAATCCACTTTCTCAGTTCACTGTGCTAATGCATTGCTTTGAAAACCTTGTCTCACTTTGGGCAGTCCATTGTGCTATGTTATTTTGAGTCACATCGGAAGCACCTATTACCTGTTCCTTGAACATTCCTGCAGGTCAATCATCTATTATTGTTATTCCAATCCTATCATCTGATAAATCTGCTAAAATCCTTATTCCCTTTTTCCATACCTCTTCTGTTGTATTGACACCTGTGGCCCACATGTGATTAGTCTTGAAAGGTAGCAATCATTGAGTCTACCATCTCTTCTGACACTGCAGAATGCTCTGTTTGCATCAGCAACACTGTTGAAAATGTTTGCTTCCTTAGGATTTATTTTTTAAAATCTGCAGACATTTGATCCAAAGGGGTGTGCTTTTGTTACAACCAAATGGTATTTAAGACCAGAAGCTTATCCATATGCGAAGCCTTACCACAATCAAGCAACTTAGTAAGCGTATGGTATGCTTGCCTTTATTGGTCAGTGCATTGAATATTGGAGTTGGAAGGCCATGTTGCAGCTGTACAGGACATTAGTTAGACCACTTTTGGAGTACTGCGTTTGATTCCAGTCTCCTTGCTACAGGAAGGATGTTGTTAAACTTGAAAGGGCTCAGGAAAGATTTACAAGGATGGTGCCAGGGTTGGAGGGTTTGAGCTACAGGGAGAGGCTGAATAGGCTGGGGCTATTTTCCCGAGAGCATCGGAGGCTGAGGAGTGAGGGGCATAGGTAGGGTGAGTAGTCAAGGTCTTTTCCCCAGAGTAGGGAAGTCCAAAACTAGACGGTACAGGTTTAAGGTGAGAGGGGAAGATTTAAAAGGGGCCTAAAGGGCAACTTTTCATGCAGAGGGTGGTGTGTGTATGAATGAGCTGCCAGAGGAAGTCGTGGAGGCTGGTACAATTATAACATTTAAAATGCCTTCCAGGCATTTAATAGATCATAATTTTTGTAAATTTTCTCTAAGCTTAATGGAAGACCCAATCTGCATTTAGATGGTATATGAATAGGAAGACTTTGGAGGGATATGGGCCAAATGCTGGCAAATGGGACAATATTTTAACTTAGGATATCTGGTCAGCATGGATAAGTTGGAATGAAAGGTCCATTCCCATGCTGTACATCTCTATGACTCTAAAGGTAAACACTGAATAAGAATCCTCCAGAATGGATTCTGAAATCTATAATACTGTTTGTTGAGATCCATGGAGAAATGCCTGACAGATGTCATGAATTGGAAAGGTTTGGAGAGATATGGGCCAGGAGCAGGCAGGTGGGACTAGTCTGGGATATTATTTTGCATGGACTGGTTGGACTGAAGGGTCTGTTTCCCTGCTGTATGACTTTATGACTCTATGAGCAAAATATGATCTTGCATTCCAGGCATTTAATTGGTCATAATTTTTGTAAATTTTCTCCAAGTATAATAAAAGACCCAACTGTATCAGTATTCAACTGATGAACATGAAGTTCACAAAATACTTTCATTCCAAGTTATTTTTGTTAAGAGTGACAATACCATGTCCACACTTGGTATTTTCTTTTCATTAAGGAGATAACTTGTGTTCACACATTAATGTCATTTTCCATTGCTTATAATATTAGGATTTGTCATATATTAGTGGGTAGTCATACCCCAGCAATTTACAGTTGGTTCTCAGCCAATCTTCACAGAAGTGGCTCAGATTACAATCTTCCGCACGAAAAAATAATTTTGTTCCAATTTGTACATTTTGGTAACCATCCTCTTCCACCAGGATAGTATATGCTAAAGGCAATTGATGAAGTAGGAAATTTGATGCCACTGTGCTACTGAATAAAATAATTATCTATTGACTGTCTGCCTCCTCCTAAATCCACAACCCATGTCCCTCAGGTCTCTCTTTATAAGTGTGCAAGGTATTTATTCAATCAATGATCTCCACTTGTAAATCCTTAATCTTAATAATGCAATTAGCATAGCATGAGCACTTTGGAAGATTACAACCAGGACAACTACAATATCCTGGGCAGGAAACTATTCTGCCTTAGGAATTAATCACGCCTCCAGTGCCATTATATTCTTCATTACTTTGTGTTGCTTACATTAATTTTGGTGAGTTTTATGTCCCAGCCATTTAATATTCATTTCCTTGAGGTGTTGGGCATTTTGATCTTTTCCTCGACTGCAAGTACTGAAGCAAATTAATTAGACAAAATATTCGTTGTTTCTTTAGCTTAGTGACAATGCCACTATTACCAGTTTTCAAAGGGCCCACGTGTTGCTTCTGATCATTCTTTCTTTCCTGGTACTATTGCAAAAGTTTTTCTGTAAGTTTTGACATCCTTTAGAAATTTCATTAGATTCTCCCTTTTTTGTAACTCTTATTATCTATTTAGTCATCCTTTATTGTTGTTTGTACCTTTCCTATTTGTCAGGATCTGTGTTTTGTTTTGGATATTTGCATGCATTTTCTTTTTGGTTATAGTGTCTCATGCCTCTTCAGTTATCCATGATTGTTTCTGGCAAACATAAGGCGTTATTTTAAGAGCAGAATCTTAGCCCACATTTTTTTTTCAACACTTCCAAGTGATCTTTCATTTTGATTATTAATAGATATGTCCAGCTTACTCCAGGACAATCACTGGCCGTTCACATTGAAATTAATATTACACAAGTCTGCAATCCTAACAGCTGTTTTATCTTTCTTGCTACTAAACATTGGATTGAACTTGATATAATGTTCAGAGTATCCTGGTAAGCATAGTTTATAGCCCCTCTAACTGTAGTTTAACGATTGAACAGAGCATTAAGTAAGACCTAATTGGAGTTTGTCACAAAGGCAATGTAAATATTGCGAGGCATTTTAATCTTCGTATGGACTGGACAAAACAAATTGACAAAGGTGGTCTGGAAGAGTTTACAGAATGATTGGAGGAGCTTTTGTAGGTCTATTAAAGGGAGCATCATTAAAGTAAATCTTTGTCTCTTAGAAGCTGAGAAAGGAGAAATTATCATGGGAAAGAGGGAATCACAGAGGCATTGAATAAATATTTTGTGCCTGTCTTCACAACAGAAGCTAAGAGCTGAGAAGCAGAAATAAAGGGCTAATAAGAGTGACAACATTAAGATATTTAAAACCAGCAGTGAAAAAGTGCTAAAGAAACTAAGGGCCAAAACCTGACAAGCCACCCCCGCCCCCCCACCCCCACCCAGGATCTAATGGCATATACCCTACAGTTTTAAACGGGGCAGCTGCAGAGGTGGGGGCGTGCTGGCTTTGATTTTCTCAAATTCTCTCAATTCTCAAACAGTCGCAGCAGATCAGAAGGGAGCAAATATATCACAGCTATTCAAGAAAGGAGAGAAAGAGAAAAGCAAGAACTTCAGACCATTTATCTCACATCAGTTGTCAATAAAATGCTGGAATCTATTATTAAGCAAGTCCGAACAATGCATTTAGAAAGTCATGGCATATTTGGACAATATCGACATAGTTTCTGAGAAATTTTGGGGGCAAGGGGTAGATAAATGAGATCCAGCAGATCAAGTAGATTGTTTTTATCAACCTGCTTGGATACGTTAGGCCACATAACTGGGCAAATGGGACTCCGACCTGAACTTTCTGACTCAGAGACAGGGACATTACTCCTGTTCCACATGAGCCCTCAGCAGATGTAGTGGACTGATTTACGAAAGGAATTCCATAACGTGGTCAGGACCCATGACCTCAAGGACTTTTGTAGAAATATTGACATTTTTTCATGAGTATGAATAAAAGCTCAAAACAGGGAAGCCAAGTTTAAACCTAGCCACACTCTGCAATTTGCAAACTGCAGAGATGGAACAGACAGTATTCATGCGGTCAAACCTTTTACAATCAGCCTCCCACTGAAACCAGACAGGCCTGGAACTGCCTGGACAAGTACTAAAAGCAGAATGAACCAGTGTTTACCCCTCCTGCTTAGTTAAAAGAATGTTACACAGACTTGGTGGTACCCAGCTCAGTAGGAGGACAGAGGCAGAGTGTGTGACGAACAACACTTGATAGCTGAAGGTTCCAAACTATGTTCTGCAATCTCATGGAAAGTAGTCACCTCAATGGACTTTCCTGTCCCTACCTGATGCTAGTAATTAACAGAAGCCATAGAATCTTCGAGAAGGGCATGAAACAGGGGATAAAAGGGACAACCTGGAGCTCTCTATGCCTTATGCACCTTCTTCAAAGTCATCTCCAGAGAGTCACCTCTGACTGACAGATGCGCTGCACAGCATCTCCA